GGAATCCACACTGTAGTAGAGCAGCCTGTAGCTACTGTTGCTGCTCCTGCCATTAACCTGTAACTGGCCAGCCTGGTCCCCACTGGAACCCAGGAAAGCCACCCACACTGGTAGATTTACACAGAAATGAACAATAACCCGCCCCTCATACAAATAATATGAACTGCCCACACACAAACATACATACAATCCACACAAACGTAACCTGCTAACAATCCACATACATGCACACAACCCCACATGCAGCCTCTCACATGCAATACCCCAAACAGCCCCCACACATACACACACTATCAAACACACCATATGACAAATCCATCCACACACACACACACACACAATTACACAAGCAGCCCCGATACACAGCCCACATTCATATGTATCATACACGATACCCCAAACTACTCCTGAACATATACAATATAATAGCTCATATATGCACAAATACAATGATACAAAGCAACTGCAGTATAAATAACACAAGCAGAATACGGCAACATACACACCTCAATTTAAAAAAATAGGACCGGCACGGTATGGGACATCACAATCCCATATCGGCACAGATCTGCTAAAAGGTTGCCTACCCTTAGTGTAGACCATAGTTTCTATATCTGGAAATTGATTTAAATCTGTACCTGTTATTCAATGTTGAACTTTTGTTATCTCTTTATTTCTCCATGTTGATATAGTAAGTTAAACTTTGCAAAGTGGCATAATAAAAATAGTTATCTCTTCCCAGAAGTTTAGAGACCCAATTTCTCCACATCTGCAAAGAAGTTTGTGTTGTTGATAAGAAATTAAGATCAGCAGGTTGGGCACTGCTGTTTGCTACTTTTTTGTAGCTCATTGTGTTCAATGATATCCTAGGGGGTTTACGTTTCCAGATATGTGCATTTATAGTATTCTGGAATTTTGTTAAAATTGACATAGGGACTGTTATTGGTATTGTCCCAATGCTTTAATGTTTCTTTTACCTCTTGCAGAGGGAAGTGCTCATGCCATTGTACAGAACACTGGTGAGACCTCACTTGGAGTATTGTACACAGTACTGGAGACCGTATCTTCAGAAGGATATTGATACCTTAGAGGGGTTCAGAGAAGGGCTACTAAACTGGTTCATGGATTGCGGGATAAAACTTACCAGGAAAGGTTAAAGGATGTTAACATGTATAGCTTGGAGGAAAGATGAGACAGGGGGGATATGATAGAAACATTTAAATATATAAAGGGAATCAACACAGTAAAGGAGGAGACTATATTTAAAAGAAGAAAAACTACCACAACAAGAGGACATAGTCTTAACCCCTTAAGGACCGAGGACGGTTCAGGACCGTCATCGGCATTTTTGCCTTGCCGACCGATGACGGTCCTGAACCGTCCAAACGGTCTGGGGGTACTTACCTGATCGCCGTCGTTCCCCCGGCGGCGATCAGTGTTCCTCCGGTTGTGGGGAGACTGCCTGCAGCCCAGACAGTCTCCCCACGGCAGATTAGGACCCCTGTGGCCATGTGATCGCTTAACACAGCGATCACATGGTCACAATAGGTGTCCATAGTGCTGCCTGCAGGGGGACTGCCTGTGCTGACAGGCAGTCTCCCTGCAACTGTAAAATCAGAAAAAAAATTAAAGTTAATGGTAATAAAAAAAATAATAATAATTATATATGTATAAATATGATATATAGACATATATTATATCTATATAATATATGTCTATATATCATATATATATAATGTCATACTAAGTGTATTTTTATATTAATATGTACTTATATTAATATAAAAATACACTTATAATTAAATTACACACGTATATATATATAATATATATAATAACTATATATATTGTATATATATATATTATAAAAATATAAATAATAAGTAATTTAAATTAAATAAAAAATTTTTAAAATAATAATAAAAAAATTTAAAAAAATTATATAGCTATATGAAATTTTATTCTAACTGTATTTTAAAATTAATATATATATATTTATATCAAAATACACTTAGAATGAATTTGTATATATATCTATGTATATAAAAATAAATAAAAATAATAAGAAATATACATACGTCCATATACAAAAATTACATAAATAATTATATAAATATACACGTAGACTTCAAATATATAAATATGCATATATATTTAAATTCTACGTGCGTATTTATGTAATATTTTTACATAATTCAGTAATTTTATTGATTGCAATTTGAGGGACCTGCCTGCCAACCCAGGCCGAAATTCCAGAGAATTTAATTTGCTAGCACTGTATTTTACCCTGTAACGTTCTACGACACCCTAAAACCTGTACATGGGGGGTACTGTTTTACTCGGGAGACTTCGCTGAACACAAATATTAGTGATTCACAACAGTAAAACATATCACAGCGATGATATTGTCAGTGAAAGTTACTTTTTTTGCATTTTTCACACACAAACAGCACTTTTACTGATGATATAATTGTTGTGATACGTTTTCCAGTTTTTAAACACTAATATTTGTGTTCAGCGATGTCTCCCGAGTAAAACAGTACCCCCCATGTACAGGTTTTATAGCATTTTTGAAAGTTACAAGGTCAAATATATGGGTCAAATATTTTTACATTGAAAATGGCCAGGTTGGTTACGTTGCCTTTGAGAGCGTATGGTAGCCCAGGAATGAGAATTACCCCCATGATGGCATACCATTTGCAAAAGAAGACAACCCAAGGTATTGCAAATGGGGTATGTCCAGTCTTTTTTAGTAACCACTTGGTCACAAACACTGGCCAAAATTAGCGTTCAATTTAGTTTTTTTACTTTTTCACACACAAACAAATATGAATGCTTACTTTGGCCAGTGTTTTCGACTAAGTGGCTACTAAAAAAGACTGGACATACCCCATATTGAATACCCTGGGTTGTCTACTTTAAAAAAAATATGTACATGTGGGGTGTTATTCAGAGATTTATGACAGATAATAGTGTTACAATGTCCCTATTGATAAATTTTAAAAATGTATGTTTTTAAACCGCAATATCCTACTTGTACCTATAGCCCTATAACATGCAAAAAAAAGCAAAAAAGCACGTAAACACTAGGTATTTTTAAACTCAGGACAAAATTTTGAATCTATTTAGCAGTTTTTTTCATTCGCTTTTGTAGATGAGTAAAAGATTTTTCAAGTAAAAGTCAAAAAACATGTATTTTTTCAATTTTTCATCAGATTTTTGTATTTTTTTTAAATTAAAATACATGAGATTATATAAATAATGGTATGTAAAGAAAGCCCATTTTGTCCTGAAAAAAAAATATATAATTTGTATGGGAACAGTAAATGAGAAAGCGGAAAATTACAGCCAAACACAAATACCACAAAAGTGTAAAAATATTCCTGGTCGCAAATGTACAACATCGCAAAAACAGTCCAGTCCTTAAGGGGTTAAATTAGAGGGAAAAAGGTTTATAAATAATATCAGGAAGTATTACTTTACTGAGAGGGTAGTGGATGCATGGAATAGCCTTCCAGCTGAAGTGGTAGAGGTTAACACAAGAAAGGAGTTTAAGCATGCGTGGGGTAGGCATAAGGATATCCTAACTATAAAATAAGGCCAGGGACTAATGAAAGTATTTAGAAAATTGGGCAGACTAGATGGGCCGAATGGTTCTTATCTGCCATCACATTCTATGTTTCTAATTTGCAGTGATTATTCTCTATCATTTTGAAGCTGAGAACTGGACCCCCTGGTATTCAGTTTTCAGCCTCTGCACTGTTGATTGGTGCATGTTTATAGGTAAAACTTGGGTTTTAGCAATACTGTATTGTTTTTTGCCATTAGTAAGGCAGAACTTTAGTGACAGAAATCCTGAGTTTATAACTCTGGCTGTTGGATTAGTAAATAAAGAGAGGATACTTTGTTTGAATTTACATGGTAATTGGAATTAATCTAGCACCTTTTCCATGTATTGCCAATGTAGGTGATCAAACGCCTTTTCCACATGAAGTGCCACCAGAAGTCCCTCAGTTTTTTGCCTTTTCATTATTTCCAATATATCTATGAATCTTCTGGTATTGTCCTCCACCTGTCTCCCTGGCACAAAGCCTGCTTGTTTTGCCCCTATCAATTTAAATAGTAGCAGTTTCAGTCTAAATGCCATAACTTTTGCAAACAATTTTATATCTGCATTGAGCAATGATATAGGTCTTAGATTAGTGCAGTTAGTGGGTGGTTTTCCTGGTTTAGGCAATGTAATTATATTAGCTTCAAATAGTTTCGGGTGCATCCAGTGGCGTAGCGTGGGTTGTCAGCACCCGGGGCAAGGCAAGTAATTTGCGCCCCTAACCCTTGGATTTTAGCACTCGAGTCTCTTCCACTAGATTAGTTAAAGAAACCCTTACCCCCCAAGCACATGTATTGTTTGTCATGAAAATACTTATGTAATTAAAGTAAAATGCATCTAAATACAAGTTTATTTTCCAACACTTTATTGAGTGCAAACATGCATTACACACATTCTCCACATTTTCAGCAGGTCTATGAATACAAATATACAAATGTAGTAACCTAGCATGGGCCATGCTATAATATGTCGTCTCACAACCATCGTAAACAACAAAAAATATCAAGAACAAAAACTAAACATCAAAATGGAACCATACCCTGGAGATGATCCAAGACTGGGCTGGATGGAGCCAACTTCCTCAATCCTGTACCTCTAATTGTAATTCTTTAATAGAAGTGCAAGATATCAATCTGTATATAATATACAGATTAATTTAAATTCGCCTGCTTTTAATTAGCGCAAATTTTTTAACAACGGAATAGTGTTTCTTTAATGTGAGGTAAATTAGAGATTAGTGCCACAAATAATATACTAGATTGCCTACTTACAACGAGATGAGGCTGATGATGGGCTCTAGCTGCAGTCTGGCTCCACTGGTCTGGTGTAGAACAGGCTCTCTGGAGGCTGTTTGTAACTGTGGTCACAAAAATCAATATACTAGGAAGGAACGGGAAGCAGCTCCATTTTTGGGGGGCCCTTTACACAGTTCAAGGTCTGGGTCCCAGGGTCCACCTTCATGTTCCACCAATGAGTTTGTTCACAGGGGGTGGAGTGTGTAGGGGATGTCCTGATATGTGTGTAAGGAATGCATTGTGTGAATCTGTGTTTGTATGTGTAAGGGCTGCAAGGTGTGTTTCTGTGTATGTACAGGATGCAGTGTGTGCGTGTGTAAGGGGTGCATTGAGTGTGTGTAAGGAATGCATTGTGTGTTTCTGTGTGTGTAAGGGATGCATTGTGTGTAAGGGTTACATTGTTTGTGTGTGTGTGTGTGTGTGTGTGTCTGTGTGTGTAATGCATTGTGTGTTTTTCTGTGTGCAAGGGGTGCATTGCATGTGTGTGTGTAATGGATGTCAATCTCTCCCCCCTCCCTTGTTACTCTCTTCTCCCCCCTCTCCCTCCCTTGTCACTCTCTTCTCCCCTCCCCCTTCCCACTCTCATTGCCCCTTCCTCCCCTGTAACTCTCACCCCCCCCGTCAATTTCTTCTTCCCCCCCACCAATTTCTTCTTCTCCCCCCTCCCCTACCAATTTCTTCTTCTCCCCCTCCCTCCCTACCTCATTTCTTCTTCTCTCCCTCCCCATTTCTTCTTCTCCCTAGTTTCTTCTCTTCCCCCTCCCCTGCCAATTTCTCTTTCTCCCACCCTCCCCATTTCTTCTCCCCCTCTACCAATTTCTTTTATCCCACCCTCCCCATTTATTCTCCCCTCCCTTACCAATGTCTCACCCCTCCCTCCTCCTTTTCTCCCCTCCCCTACCAATTTCTTCTCTACCCCCTCCCATTTTTCTCCTTCCCTGAGCCTAATTTTTCTCTTATGATGCAGTGATGGTCCGCGGGTACAGGTTGCTTTTGTTTCCTGTACCCGGCCGGACTAACAGGAAGTGCACACTGAGTGTGCACTTCCTGTTAGTCCGACCGGGTACAGGAGACAGATGCTCCCTGTACCCGTCGGACCATCATGCTGCAGGGCTCGGCCACGCTACAACAAAGGTGGGGGGGAGGAGAAAGAAATTGGCCCGGGCAAAGCTGCAGCCGCCTGAGGCTCTCTACAGAGCGCTCGGGTGGCTGCAGCATGGGGGGGCCGGCCCTGAGCGCCCAGGCCCATGGAATAGGCCCATTGATTTATAATTAAAAAAAAAGCCAACAGTCTTAGCATAACTATGAACGTTCTTGATGTATTATTTGCATTCCAGCGTGGCCGCGCATGCGCAGAACGTTCACGCGTGCGTCATGACGTATGACGGTGCGCGTGACGGGCGCATGCGCAGTCACGAAAGAACCGGCGGACCAGCAAATTTAAAAGAGAGAAGAGAGTGAGAAGATTAAGAAGCTGCTGACGAAGTCTAAAGGACGAAACGCATTGAGCAGCATTGAGGACCCTTCCACTTTGGTATCAGCAGTTTCTGTTTTACATGATTTCTGCCTATGTGACTAGTTGTGGACATTATTAATGTATACCAGCTTGGAGTGATAGGAGTTGCACTCTGCCATTTTATTCCACTGTCTGCACTTTAGCAATTAGCACTTTTTCATGTTATGTAGAGCTGCTATACCTATGGGTCTTTAGCCTATTAAGGCTTTTTATGTAGATATATTTTTTTACTATTTGCACAGTGTTGGTGCACATTATTCAATAAACAGTATTATCCTCATTCATTTTATTATTATCCTCGTTTATTTATCTGGTGTTTCTGGCGCCCTGTATTTTCTTGTTCCAATATTACAGTGATACTGGCAATACAAATGCTGGTATTTTTCTCAGTATAAAGTAAAAAAAAAAAAAAAAGAGATTACTATGCAATACCAGCAATGGCGAGAAGGGATCACTGTGTGTGGAGACAGGCAGGGAAAGGACGTTCCAGCATATCCCTCCCTGCCTATCTATACTCACTGATCTGCAGGGGTGCAGCTACAGAGAGTCCAGACAGCAACTCCCACCCTGCAGAGACAGCCTACAGCTCAGGGAAGTAAGGGATGGGGGGAAAGGCTGCAAGGAGACATGGGCACACTGAGACACTAAGGGACATTGGGAGACATTATGACACAGACACATTCTCCCAGTGTCCCCATGTCTCCCAGCCAGTGTCCCTGGTGTCTCAGTGCCCCCTAGTCTCCCAGTGACCCCTAGTCTCCAAGTGCCCCCAGTCTGCCAGTGTCTCACTGTCCCCATGTCTCCTAGTGCCTCCATGTCTCCCAGTGCCTCAAGTGTCTCAATGCCCCCATGTCTCCAAGCTAGTGTCCCTAGCGTCTGTGGCCCTGGTGTCTCCTTGTCAGGGCCGTCTTTATTGCGGGGCAAACGGGGCAGCTGCCCCGGGCCCAGTTGCTCCTGGGGGCCCAGAGCAGCTGCTCTGTGGGCCCCACGATTTGCGCAGCCCCTATGGACCGTGCGGTGCGGCTCCCGCACACTGAGGAGGCTCCCCGGGTGGCCCATGCACTAAGGGCCACCCGGGGAGCATGTGTCAGCAGGGGCCCGGTCGGGCGCTGCAGCGCTTAAACAGCGCGACCGGGCCCCTCTTCCGGTTCTGCAGCCGGCTTGGAGGAAGTGACTTTACTTCCTCCCACTGGAGATAATGGCCGCGCGGAAGGAGGAAGGCAGGGAGGAGGGGAGTTCCAGAGGAGAACTCCCATCTGCCTCAGCCTGCCACTGGACCAGGGAAACCACCCTCCAGGAAAAGGTAAGAACCTGGAGGGTGGCTAAATGTAGGTCTGTGTGTGTGTATGTGTGTGTGTGTGTCAGTATGTCTGTGTGTGTAGTATGTCTGTGTGTGTGTGTGTCAGTATGTCTGTGTGTGTGTATATGTATGTAGGTATGTCTCTGTGTGTGTATGTGTGTGTCAGTATGTCTGCCAGGATATATTTGTGTGTCAGTGTATGTGTGTGTCAGTATGTATCTGTGAATGTTTTAATGTCTGTCTGTGTGTATGTGCCAGTACGTCTGTCTGTATGTCAGTATGTCTGTGTGTGTGTGTCAGCATGTCTTTGTGTGTCAGCATGTCTTTGTGTGTCAGTATGTCTGTGTGTGTATGTGTGTGTCAGTCAGTATGTCTGTCAGTGTATGTGTCTGTGTGTGTATGTATGTATGTATGTCTGTGTGTGTGTCAGTATGTCTGCCAGTTTATATTTGTATGTCTGTGTATGTGTGTGTCAGTATATATCTGTGAATGTTTTAATGTCTGTCTGTATCAGCCATTACGTCTGTCTGTGTATATGTCAGTATGCCTGTGTGTGTGTGTCAGTGTGTATGTCAGTATGCCTGTGTGTGTGTGTCAATGTGTCTGTCAGTGTATGTGTCTGTGTGTTTTAGTATATCTGTCAGTGTATGTGTTTGTGTGTGTGTCAGTATATCTGTTAATGTATGTGTCTGTGTATGTATGTATGTCTGTGTGTGTGTCAGTATGTCTGCCAGTATATATTTGTGTGTAGTGACTGTGTGTGTCAGTATGTATCTGTGAATATTTTAATGTCTGTCTGTGTGTGTATGTGCCAGTACGTCTGTCAGTGTGATTGCGGGTTAGATGTAATTGGGGGGTGAGGCAGTGGCAGGGACAGGGCCCATGGGGCCCAAGAAAATGCATTGCCCAGGGTCCTAATCATATTATAGACGGCCCTGCTCCTTGTCCCCATGTCTCCCAGTGCCCCCATGTCTCAATGTCCCCATGTCCCCCAGCCAGTGTCTCTAGTGTCTGTGTCCCCATGTCTTCAAGTGTCCCCTATTTTCCCAGTGTCCCCATGCGTCCCAGCCAGAGTCCCCTAGTCTCCCAGTGTCACTGGTGTCTCCGTGTCCCTAGGTCTCCCCCTGTCCACAGGTCTTCCCGTCTTCCTAGTGACATGGGGACCCTGGGATACATGGGGACACAGGGAGATATGGGGCATTGAGACACTGTGATACATAGGATCATTGGGAGACCTGGGGACACGACACTAGGGGACACTGGGAGACATGGGGTACTGAGACATAGGAACACTGAGATCTGGAGTAATCGACACATGGGGCCACTGGGAGGAATCCATCTATACAGCAGAATCAAACTAAGTAGTTTTTTGGTGATTTTACAGCATTTTCTCTTATGTCACTCCTTGTGATTTACATCATGTGATGTCACTCATATATTTAATTATGCAAATTAGCAAGGCCGGTATGTTTTTCCAAGAAAGGTGGCAACCCTAACTACTTTTCACATACCCTTACTTAAGTATGGAAACTTAAGAGGGATGTATGGGAACAAAACTTGTGTGGACTGGCTGACAATGAATATAGTTAAAGGGACACTAGAGTCACCAGAACAACTACAGCTTATTGAATTTGTTCTGGTGAGTAGAATCATTACCGTCAGGCTTTTTGCTGTAAACACTGTCTTTTCAGAGAAAATGTAGTCTTTACATTACAGCCTAGTGATAACTTCACTGGCCACTCCTTAAATGGCTGTTAGAGATCCTTCCTGGGTCATGGCTGCCTAAAATGCATCCAAACATTCAGCGTCTCCTCCCTGGGGGGGCTAGATGGTGGTGTTAACGCTATAGGGTCATGAATTCATGTTTGTGTTCCTGGCCCTATAGTGATCCTTTAAGGTAATGCTGACTTTGGTCTCTCTAACAATGTGCTTCTATACTCACTACATACAGCTTTTCTCTGTCCCAGACTATATACCAGGAGCTTCTGCCTGCTAGTAAGAAGGTAAGTAGACGAGTGGACCAGCGAGTGCTAGGGGACAGTCCTTAGAAAGCGTTGAGCGAGCGCATCATTAGATGCATTTATGCCAAGCTCAGGGTGCTGTCTGCATAGTATGCCCTTAGTTGGCCAGCTGCATGATTGGCAGGCAGCCTGACATGCATTCATACCAGGCTGGCCTTCTAATTCTTTGGGCAGACATATCCTCTTTTTGGGCATGTTCGCCCCTTTTGGCAGGTTACGTGATTTGTGTCAGTGGCACACCCTTTTACCGTGCCCATTGACTTCCTGCTTGACTGGACACTGCTGTTAGGGGTTATGGATTTACATGAAAGATGAAAACATAAATTAGTGAGAGATTAGCCTAGGGTATGTGTTTTCTTATAGCTGCTGTTTTCTTTCTCTCCAGCACCATCTCCATCAGATACATGATGCTTGGGAGCGTTTTACTGTTTTTGGTCGATATGATTCTGTAATTAGGCCCGTCATAATTGTCAGCACCAGGTCCACTGGGCTCTTAATCTGGCCCTGAATTTAGCCCCTGCTGATTTAACCAAATAGGGAATCGTTTGGGTTAGTTTCTGTTTAAGTTGGAATGCCAGTAGTTTACCTGCTTTATTC